AATCATCTGATGGGCCAGTTTAATTGTACAGGTAGAACTGAAGGTACTTAAGACACTCTTTGGAGGCAAGGCAAGTTTATTTATATAGCACCTTTCAACACAAGGCAATTCAAGGTGCTTTACAAAAATGAAAGACATTCAGACAAAGGCATTTAAGAACAGTAAAAGATAATAAAATTAACATTACAAGAAAAAATACATGAATAAAAAGTTACAGTGCAGTTTAAGATATGAATAGTTCACACAGAAGTTCCACTTTACTGATGAACACAACGGCTCAGTTTCAATTAAAAGCAGCGACAAAAAGAAAAGTCTTCAGCCTGGATTTAAAAGTAGTCAGAGTTGCAGCGGACCTGCAGGTTTCTGGGAGTTTGTTCCAGATGTTTGGAGCATAATAACTGAACGCTGCTTCTCCATGTTTAGTTCTGACTCTGGGGACAGAAAGCTGACCAGTCCCTGAAGACCTGAGAGATCTGGATGGTTCATCATTTAGCAGGAGGTCAGAAATGTATTTTGGGCCTAAACCATTCAGTGCTTTATAAACCAGCAGCAGTATTTTGAAATCTATTCTTTGACACACAGGAAGCCAGTGTAAAGATTTCAGAACAGGAGTGATGTGATCCTCTTTCTTAGTGTTAGTGAGGACTCGAGCAGCGGCAAGATCAAACCTGATAGCAGCTACTTCTTTCACACAGGCACACTTCTGGCACCCTCAAAATACAATTTCAAAATGGCCTGAATACTTCCTCGACAAGTTTATTCATTCAAAAATAAACTTAATGGGGGGGGGGGGGACATTAAATAGACTTGGGAAACCAAATAACATTTCCTGAGCCTATTAATCATATTAGTTTATATTCAAAATAACATTCTGATGGTAGAGGAAATGTTTTGGTAGGGTTATTCACAGAGGAATTGCTATTACTGTAAGATCTCATACAAATGCCTTGGGGATTTGTTGCAACTCGCTGCTGCTTTTTCTCCAAGGCCGAGTCTTGCAAAATCTTAATGAGGTCATCCCTGGCAGCAACATTGCAGAGCTGCTTTTTACCTGAATCATCATCTAAGGGTCATGTACAGTCAGATTCTATGGAGTGAGTGTCGGAGACAGACCTGAAATTATCTTTCCACTTTTCCCAAGAGCAATTATTGAGTCGCTGCATCGACAAAAACTAAAATACCCATGTGTTTTACATGATGACATAAAAACTATATTTAAACTTGCTGGTATTCTTTGGGAGAGTCATTATCAATGTCTATCAAAGGAACCTTGAAATGCTCTTTGGAAATACTTGTTTTTATGACTTTAATGACCTGCTTTTCAATTCACAAGCAAAACCGTGTGTCACTAAAAAAAAAAACCTACATGTAAAGAAAGATTAGGCAATCACACAACCTAAAAAAAAGTTGATCAAAGATGTAAAAGTGGGACTAAAGTTTGTGAGTGCTAAGAGGCTTTAGGGAAAAAGGTAACGCCTGGTTTAGTTTAGGGTGAGGTGAAGGTGAAGGGGGATGTATAGGCTCCACTGTGTTGGAGTGGAGGGTTTCGCTGGAGCTGAAATGTAATGATGTGGATCATGGACAAACATGGCCTCTTGTTGGAGTTGGTTTGTTTGAGGAGAAGATGCCACTGTGGAATCTGACCTGACATGATTAAAGAAGAGGAGCCCTAATGCTTTCCACAGACTTCTGCTATAGGGAACTATTAGGGGGTTAACAAGCCTGTGCTGTCTTGTCCAAGGTCCTTCACACATAAAGCTTTTATAATACTCTCAAGTTGTTAAATATTTGACTTAATGGATTTGGATTATCCAGATATATGAAACTACATGTTGAAATACCACAATGACGAACAAGCTAATAAAAAAACAGTTTGCAAAAAGCATGATTGATAAACAGAAGCATATACATATAGTGGCACATTTAATTTGTAGACCGTGGGGAAAAACCCAGAATCTCTTTGTTTGCGATGTGATGTAAGATGTTTATGTCTGACAATGTCTCACCACAGCATTATTGTTTAGGCTCATAATTATGCCCACTTTCAAAGACATTTCATACTACAATATATTTAAAGCTTTGGACATATTTGCCGATATTGCCTTCATTAAGACAAAACATAAAAGGGTACTTAGCATATACAGTCAGTCGCCAAAGTGTTGTTCACAAATGTATAAAGCTTGGTTTTCTCTGATCATTTTGAAGATGCATTTTGTGGTGCTTGAGGAATTATTGATAACGTTGACAAAATATTTGAAACACCTGTTAGTATAACACCTCAAAGCGGCAGCCTCCGATATGCATGTACAGTTGAATCATAACTTTTCCAAAACAATTTCAGCTTCATGGAGGCAGGATTTATTGCAGCGCTGTTATAATAAACTGACGCATTAGTGTATATTTTATGTAGAATGTGGGAAACTCTTATAAATGTAATCCGGTGACATAATATACACACGTTAAAATGCAAAACATATAAATTGACCATTTAACAACATTTATGACTTTTTAGGAGTAATACAACCATGTCATTAAGCTGAGCACAAGTCGTCCAGATAAAGCTCTATTGTATCATATCATGAAAGTCTATTTATATTGCAGCGTCCTGTAATCTGTTTCTATCTCGAGTGTTCGCCACATCAGAGGTAAATTGAGGTGATGTGATGACTGTATATACCAGCTGTATCGCTGAATGTTTACACTTTAAACAAAACTATGACACCAAGAAGAACCCAACACAGCAACCTCATATGCACACACACACACACAACTCAAATATGTATTGGATGTGCGTGCTCTCTAACCTAACACAGCCCGTCCCGATGTCACTGCAGCAGGGTTTACTCCCAATATGCTTGTCTTTGCACTATCCACTGGCGTGACTTATGAATCTTTTATCAAAACTGGCCTAATTGCTTAACCATCCATGTGCTGGGCCAGTGGTGCATGGTGGGAGGGGAGAGGGGGCATGCCATAATGGTCATAAAAACAACAAGCAAATCCGCCAGCATTGGTCCCCCTCTGACAAGTCGGCCTTATTCTCTAGGATTCAGTCTATTTTTATATGGACTTTATGAATCCCTGATAGTCCTATTGTAACCCTAACCGTGTTATGGGGAGACAGTGTCATTAGCCACATATTGAGCAGTAATTCCGTAATATAATACATTGTAGACAACTAGGGAGAAGTCAGTGCATTTTCCCTCTAAAGCGGGAAAAGGTTTCCTGATATGAATACAAATCAGCAATAACCAGACATAACAATCATATCAACATCTGGGCACATTCAGTGCAAAGCAGCAGGTGATGATGTGCAGTTTGTGTGAATTCATTAAATCCTTTAAAGGCAATTGTCTTTCCCTCAATGCCAAGACAACAGCATAAATCCAATATTCCCTCGTCATTGGGTTTATTTTATTAAGTGTTTACTCAACAGAAAACAAGCAGCAGTATACGGCTTCCTGTCCTCACCATATCTGCACTGGAAATACAAAATAACTTTCCCTTCTGTTCTCACTCCCACTCTCTGCCCTGTTTCACAGCAGAGGAAGCTGCTGCCGCTGGAGGGTCAGAGCTGAGCGCAGTTTGAGAAGTAAAAGAGTGGACGGACAAGAGCCTGTGGGGAGTTTCTGACTCCCAAACCATCTCCCCAGTTCCTGGGAGCTGAGTATCCAGTCCTAGGAAACTCCCTGCTATTCCTACTCAGTGGATAAAACAGCTGCAGATTCTCACTTTTCACTGGCTGTGGTTGTTTGAACTGAAGCAAAAAAAATCCCAATATTTCAACATTGAGGGACAAAAATCAGTTGTTTTCTAGTTTAAATAGCAATTTCCATGAATCCATATCATTAATCAAATAATAATATAATTATGAATTTAGATATTTTCCATTCAATTATGTCATGTATTTTTTTCTTTAACAAATGTTGCTTTAAATATCAAACGCTGTTTTTATCATCATCTATTGTCTGGCTGAGAAATCCTGGAAGCTGTCATTCTTCCTGCTCACAGCTGGCGTTTAACTGGAATCCGTTCTGTAAACGTTTTTCCTGAATAAGTCAATATCAGGCCTGTGTGTATGCCTGTGCGCATAATTACAGATGCGCCATTCCTCCTAAACTGTCATTAGAAAAGGGAATGGGAATGACTCCAGGCTACAACCACCGCTTGCGGTTACGTAACATGCTCTCCTCGGATCCTGTCTTATCCCGGAGACAGCTGAAAACTCCCCGGACCAACACTACCTTTTGTCTGAGGAAATGTTGCTCCTTACACGCCTAGAGGAGTTTAATATTTTTTTCCCCAACGGGCAAATATATTTTTTCTTTCGTTTTGAAAAAAACAATCGCCTCCGTGATTGTATGCCTTTGTTTGTCTGGCTCGCTGTGTTTGGGTGCGCGGATGTGCTGCAGTTCCCTGAGTGTCCGTGTGAGGGCGCAGTGAGCCTTCCTTCTCCTATCATCATCCAGGGATGCTGCTGGCCCTCAGACAAAAGAGAAAATGATATTCAGAGCTCTACAGCAAGAGCAGGGCTGGAGGATTGCAAGTGTAGGAATACATCTCGACACATCATATGAAATAAATGATAAACAAGTGTGGGCATATAAGAAGTGATACCTATGTGTTGAAATAAATAAATACAAATACTAGATTTGGAAACATTTGTAATCATTAACCCCAGTTCAATGTTGATCTAACATGTACTTGTCTTTCTAAAATAGAGTCATGAGCAACATACATTTATTGTATCAATGTCCAATAAATATAATATTTGAGGTGTGTGTGTGTGTGTGTGTGTGTGTAGGGGGTTGGTTTAAAAACACTGCCCTTCACTTGGATGTTCAAACCCCTGGTTCAGCTGTAGCCTATCACCCAACCTGCTGCAGTGCCCTTGAGCAATCTGAGCAAGACATCAAATCACTAACAGCCCCTGGGTTACTTCGACTGTTTCATGATCTAGGGTCTGACATCCCAGTGGAGTGATAGGCGGGAGAGAAGACCTGAGGCTGTCAATATTATACATTGTCTTTCTTTATTCCTTTCCTTCACACTATGTCTTTCTTGCTTTCATTCTTGCTCGCAATGTTTAGGCTGTTTTTCTCGATTCACCTTGAAAGAAAGCTCCCAGCCAGCCTGTCTCCCGCGCCGCATCAAACCCAGAGCCCGACTGTACCACCCCCCAGCCTGGGGAGGGAGGAGTCAACTCAGCTCCCGCAGAACTGAGTGTATAACACTCTTCAGCCAGCCACAATGTGTGTCAGAGGACTGTCTGTGCTCCCTAAGTAGATGACTGCTTTAAATCTGGTGTCTGTATTACTGACTGCGAGATACGAGAAAAATTGGATCGCACATTATCATCCCAAATCAGGACAAGGTGAGCATCTTCTCCTTCCAGCGCGAGATACAGAAACGTGTTTTTATTTCCTCACATGTTTCACACAAAAAAGAGTCTATTAGATTTGATTGTTGTCATTTCTTATGGTTTTTTTCTGTAAACATGTCCTTTTTCACATTTGTGGCATGTTTAGTGACTTGTGATCCCATGAGTCGTTTGGCACACTGTTCGTCACGGTTACATTTACGCACATTCTCCTGTGAGATTTGTGCGGTTTTTATACCTCACAGAGGAGTGAGTGTGGAATTTAGTGGAGCAGACTGTGTGTCTGTGTGTGGGCTTAGACTCGGGGTCTTTCTGCAGTGTAGTTTTCAGGTGTGATAGAGGACAGAGTGAATGTGGAGAGGCGCTCTTTTCCTTTTTGGAGACTAAAGTATATTTTCTTCCTTTTCAGGTTTTTCGACTGTGGGATAGAATGCCAGCAATCGCAAGTAAAAACTCAGATATGGAGTTTGACTCGTTACAACCGTGTTTCTACCCGGATGAGGACGACTTCTACTTCTGTGGTCCTGACTCTGCGCCACCGGGGGAGGACATCTGGAAGAAATTCGAGTTGTTGCCCACTCCGCCCCTCTCCCCGAGCCGAGCCGCGCTACCGGGGGAGCCGGCGGCTGCCTCCCCGGAAGCAGACCCCCTGGGCTTCGGCTTGGGGGACCCACTGGACTGGGCTTCTGAGCTGCTGCTCCTGCCCGAGGACGATATCTGGGGGGCGTCCGACGATGGGGACCTGTTCGGCTCCGCTTTGGATACTAACCCCAACAACATCATTATCCAGGACTGTATGTGGAGTGGTTTCTCCGCCAGGGAAAAGCTGCAGCGTGTGGTCACTGAGAAACTCGGCAAGGCTATTTCTACTGCCACGGGAGGTGCCAGGAACGTGTGCGTCAAGGCACCGGAGGTTGTGAGCCGCAGCTCGGTGTCAGAGTGTGTGGATCCGGCGATAGTGTTCCCCTTCCCGGTCAACAAGAAGAACAGCAGCAGCAGGGACTCAACCGGGAGCGTAAACACACCCACAGCCCACGAAAACGCTCAAAGTGACTCCGGTAAGAACCTCAATTCGCACAAAAAGCGTTTGTGTTCATTTGTTTGTGTAATCTACTGCTACTGAAAGATCGTGGTATCATTATTACTATTTTCATTTTTTTTAACATTTTGATTCGTATTGTTGTTATTATTATCATCATCAAGCTATTACTGGAGTGGCTGGAGCTTGTTCATATGACTGGCCCAGAATCGGATTATCTTGTTACATTCCACGCACACACACACTCACAACAACACACATACACACTGGAGTAGGGAGTAGTGACACAGTGAACGAGGTTTATGTAATCAGCGGGCTCTTCATCCGGCAGATGGCAGTAAAATGGGGAATTGTGTGCCTTCCTGAACTCAGTTGGCACCCAAGCCAAACAAAAAGACAACACACTCCCTGACTGCAGCCGGTCCCGGGTGTAGGAGGAGAAGATAAAAAGGTGTTCAATAATGTGATGATCTGATAAAGTGTCTGGTTCACGGTGCTGTGAAGGCTTTCATTACGCATGGATTAAGGGACAATTTGACGCACAGTGGGTGATAAATTGGCACTTATTTTGGACAGCCTGTACTAACTGCTGTCTTCAGTTCAGTCGAGTTAAAAAAAAAAAAAAATTAAAAACAGAAATACACTTTAGTACCATGAATGGATGATCAGAACAACCCATAGACTCAGGGATATAGAATGGCAATCCTCTTTCCCTGCTTATTCTGAGGAAGTAGTTTTCGTTTATTTTGGGAAATTAGTTCTGTGTATATTTAATCGCCCTAAGACTACATCCCACCTATTACCGCCTTCGAGTTTCCTAAACAAACACTCACAAGCTCTTATCAGCGTGTTTTCGCTGCGAAACAGCAGTACAAAAGGCCTCCAGCTTGGCACAGAGGGCAGACCCAGCCAGTCTTGCCAAACACCTCCTCCACCGCGAAGAAAAGAGGGCGGAGGAGGGCTCTGGCTGCTTCTTTTAGGGGGGTGACAGCTTTGAACGAGCGCTCCATCTCGACAGCTGTCTCCCTGGCTCTGCTCCAGCTCGGAGGCTTAAAGGCTGGTGATCCGATCGCCTGCCGCCTGCAGTCCGGCGCACAGCTCCCTCCAGTGCGCTTCTGCAGCTAGCAGCGCCTCTCTTTGTGTTGCAGGCGTTATTTACCTTCTCATCAAAGAGACACAGACTGTGACAGCTACAGTGTAGGTTTATCCCTGTAATTATAAAGCTTAGTATTACTATTCAAGATGCCTGCATGGGAACAACCCACTCTAAAACTTAAGACAGTGGCACATAAACATGGCTGATATTTTATCCAACCAGGCAGAGGTGGTTGTCATTCTATTTATGCTATTTCCAGCTCCAAAAAATGAGCTGTTCCATGAGTGAAACAGGGAACCACTAAATCCCAGCTTCACATGTGGCAAAGCCAGCCACGCCCCCTCATCCATCCAGCTGTGCCCTGCTTTGTTTTGATGGCAGTGCCAGATTGAGTGTGTGTGTGTTGAGACAGCACACTGGTGCAGCGGTGTCTGAAGTGGGTTACTGTAAACTGTAAAATGCCACACTCTTCAGATGCTCCTGAGCTGATAATGAGAGCCATTATCACCAAGGCATTTTAACTGGGCCTCACACTCTCTGGCTCATGATTGGCAACTTCCTCTCATCTTCAAAAGGCGCCAGTCCCTGATAAGTCTCAGCTGCTCAGCCTGATTCCAGCGCAGGTATTAAGACGAAAAGCTCAGCGAAAAAGAAGCGGGAATTCGTTTTTTTTTTAATAACTTGATCAGAGGTTACATTTAAAGTGAAGTTCTTAATGCCTCGCACACCGTCAGGTTAACTGCGCTGATAGACTGAAGGCATCAGACTGAAGCTGTCTCACCGGAGAAGATTAAGAGAAGTTTTGAAGGAGGGATAGAGAATGAAAGGCAGAAATCCAGCCTGTCTGCTCAGCTCTGAGACTGAACGTGTCAACGCCTGCAGAGCAGATTAGTAGAGGAGTGACTGACACTAAGCATTAAGAGGCTTCTGCTTAAACAGCGTTGAGCAATGCTCTCTCTCCCACACACACATCACACACACATAACACACTCTCTCACTGATCTCACTCACACAGATACCTGTCACCTGCTGGTACATAGATGACATAGTGGGAATACTTGTTGTGTCAGAGAGATTAAGTCACTAACATTCTGCTTTTTCTTTTCCCAGAAGACGAAGATGACGAAGATGACGATGATGATGATGATGATGAAGACGACGACGACGACGAAGAAGAGGAGGAGGAGGAAGATGAGGACGAAGACGAGGAAGAGGAGGAGATTGATGTGGTCACAGTAGAGAAGAGGCGCTCCTCAATCAACAAGGCGTCTCCATTGACGACGGGTACGGTCACCATCTCTGTGCATCCCAAGAGCCAAGACGGGCGAGGGTCCGGCGCCTCGAGTCGGTTCGTCAGCCGGGCCCCTCAGGAGCTGATCCTGAAGAGGAGCTCGGTCCACCAGCAGCAACACAACTACGCGGCCCCCTCCCCTTACGCGTCAGATGACGACCCCAGCCCACCCCCAAAGAAGCAAAGGACAACAGACTCACCTCGACCCCCCACCAGAACCATCTCCTCCTCCTCCTCCACGTCCTCCTCCATGTCCTGCAGCTCGTTCTCCGGCACATCGGGGGTCCGCAGCAAGCGCAGCCACAGCGGAGACAGCAGCCCGCGCGGCAGCTCCGACTCAGAGGACAGCGAGCGTCGGCGCAACCACAACATCCTGGAGCGCCAGCGTCGCAACGACCTGCGCTCCAGCTTCCTCACGCTACGCGACCACGTGCCGGAGCTGGCGCACAACGAGAAGGCGGCCAAGGTGCTGATCCTGAAGAAGGCCACCGAGTATGTGAGCTCACTGGAGACGGAGGAGATGAGGCTCCAGCAGGAGAAGGACAGGCTCCAGGCCCGCTGGCAGCAGCTGATGCGCAGGCTAGATCAGGGGAGGACTCGCTAACAGACAAACCACTACAACACAGAAACACTCACATATACCCTGGAAGACCCCTCTGCCTCCAATCAGTCTGAATCACAGTTAGGCGCACACACATAGGCCTATACACTAAGGCACACACACATAGGCCTGCATATCTGTCGTACACACACAATCATCTCAGAGGACGTTTATCTACAGATGCCCACACACTCACACACAGGGAGGAGAGGAGGGGGGTCTCCGGGGGGATGCTCGGACTTTCACTGCCGCCACTTTTTTTGCACATTTGTTGACGTTAAGAATGTTAAGGGTTTACTTTTTCAATCCAGTCACATTGAGGAAAGATTTTAAAAAAGAGAAAATAATGAGAAGGGGAGAGGACACACTTTGTTCTGGTCTTCCCCCTCCTCTGGTTTTTTTTATATCATTTGTATCTTGTTTTTTGTACTCACTGTGACACCAGCCTGGAATCAGGTGATTCCCACAGGGATGGGTGTAAGAGGGCACTTTGCTTGGAGAGTTTCACTACAAGACGCAGCAGTGCACACTTACTTTGCCTTCACCACTGCAAAACTGAACGAGACTTTGACGACTGAGGCGTTATGGGTCACATAAACAATGCCACTACAGGTTCTCTTTCACTCACTCCTCCCTCACACTGGTGCTCAAACCAAGTCAGTGGATGTATAACTGCGCACCTTGCTAGCCGACACTTTTGTATATAACAATAGTGAACAGACAAAATAAACTCAGATCTGCCTTGTTTTGTAATACATTTTGTCCTTGTTTTTTTATACATGTCAGGAAGCTGCCAATAACTAGACTGGAAGTTTATATACCTTTAAAAGTACTGTAAGGCCTCGATTTTTGAGAGTCATGACCTTTGTAATATAACAATATATTGTTTTTTTTTCTTCTCTCTTACTTTGTATTGTATCATATTACTAATTCTACACACCTTTATGCTTTTAGTGTGAACATACTAAATTTGATACTTATATTTTCGTATGAAAATGAGTTCCGGTAGATATCACTTTATCTCGTCTTTTTTTTCTCTTTTATCTCAAATTATTTTGTACAGCAAATGTGTTTTATCCTGATGTACCTGGCCTTCTTCTTTATTCCTCTTTTGTTTATATTTGTAACTATCGGGTGCATAGAACTGGGTAAACGGATATAAGATGTTTGTTTTTTTCACTTTTAAAATGTACATTTAGTGCTGCAACTCATAGCACTTTGAAATACCTCATTTTGAAAAATAAATAGACATCATAAAACACTCACGCTTTGCCTCTGTTCCTCTTTATTGTCCCTGACACTGTGGATATCACCTCTGACCCCTTCACCCTTACATAATGTTCCCTTTGTCTGCTTTTATTCTTTATTTTCCTCTACATTTCCGCATTTGTTTTGCTCATCCTGACAAAGAAATAAAGAGTATCTTCTGAATCCTCTGTCTCAGCCCCCTGCGGCTACCTCCCCCTCTGTAGCCTCTCACACCCACCCACGCACACACCTACGCACACACACTTCAAGTGCACGGGAGCACACATACACACACTCTCCGTTTCCCTCTCTCACCGACACAGCCCCTTGCTATTACATTGTTCAGGCTGTTGCCATGGAAACTGGAGCAGCTGCTGAGTGGCAGACAGCGAGAGTGAGTCTTTTATTTGTCTGTTAGTAGTCTGTGTTTATGCCTGCATGTGTGTATGAATGTCAATGTCTGTATGTGTGTGTACCTTTTGTTCCCGGGCTGTGTGTGGCCCTGATTTCTCCGGCGTTGTGCTCTGCCCTGATGCCCGGACAAGGCTGGATACTGTTTACCAACATCAGCCACATGGCTCTGGCCTCCTCCCCTCTCCTCCTCCTTCCCTCTGTGCCTCCAGTGCCGGGCCTTAACCCAAATATGTGCCACTCAGGAGTCTGGCCAGGCGTTCTCTGGAGATGGCTGAAAGAGAAATCTGTTGCCACGGTCTGAGTAGCCATTCAGCACGACAGTGTGTTCACAGAGGGAAGGATAAAAAAGAGTTGCCGAGAGGGGAATTAACAGGACATAAAAACACACATTGTTGATGACTTTGATTAATCCGTTTTACCTAAAAGAAGAAGCAATGACTGCATAGCACTGTACGACAGGGGGACCCTTTTTTCTCCTTCAAAAACTATATATTACTTAATGAGCGTGTTACAGTACTAGAGTGTAAATAAAACACTTAATTTTTTCAGTGCCATGTTCTTTACATTAAACTGATTAAGACCCCATTCATCCACAGACTCAGGACCCAAATGATCCAAAGGTATTTTCACAGTGAGATACAGCGCTATATGAAGACTGATGACTTTGTTTTGGAGTTGAGACAGCCCAAGACTGAGCCTCTCTGTGGGGGAGTGGAGCTGGTGGATTACATAACAGGAGTCTGGTGGGTCTGGTGTCTTTGTGCGCACTTACTGTTCATGTGTGTGTGTGTGTGTGTGTGTGTGTGTGTGTGTGTGTGTGGGACAGGATCTAGTGTCTTTGTGTGTGTATGTGTGTCCTCTCGTGGGACTTCCCCTTACCATCTGCCTAATGGCTTATCCTGCTTGGTTATAGGATGAAAACAAGTTCATGGACAATAACATCCCAGAGAATTTTTTTTTTAAAGAAAAACAACATATTGCAGCCGACAGAGGCAGTTTGCTTCAGATGGTGAGATTAACTCTGACATTCAAACAAAATCAAACACGTCGACATAAGAGTGTGTGTGTACTGCTCAAACACACACAAACACACACGTCGTAACAGTGTCCAGTGGCACATTTCCCGCCCACACACCCCGAGTTAAACAAACATAAAACCATACACCTCTCAGCTGTGCGCACACTTACACACTCTGGCTTCCTCTTCAACCCCCCCCCCCCCCCCTTACACACACTCATGTGCTCACACGCTTCAAGAACAGTTAAGCTATCTCCTCTCTGAAATGAGGCTAATTGTTTGAGGGAAGCTGGCGTTCAGGGAATAGCCGTCTCCTGCGTTAAACAGACATATGGCCGTGGCTTTTCCCTGATTAATACCCATTATCCCTCTGCCCACTGCCCGCCTGGCTGAAGCTGCCCAGACACACACACTCACACAACTCTAATGGGCTTACACTCGGCTGATGGATGTACATTAAAGCTGGACATGAGCTAAAGGGGCATGTTTGTGTGTTTCCTGTGCGTCATGTCATCTGTTTTGAGATCTTCATTACAATTGGCATTAAATTGACACAAACATTTCTATTGTCCTGTTGACACCCGGATCAGTATTCAACATGTTAGCCTTCCATATGGAGGAAACAATGGCTGCTGTGTGTGTGTGGTGTGGTGTGTGTGTGTGTGTGTGTGTGTGTGTGTGTGTGTGTGTGTGTGTTGTTGGTGTGTGTGTGTGTGTGTGTGTTGTGTGTGTGTGTGTGTGGTGTGTGTGGTGTGTGTGTGGTGTGTGTGGTGCGTGTGTGTGTGTGTGCCTGCAATGTGCCCAATCTCTGCACAAAGGCATGCCCGTCACCCATGCGCCTCTCTGGGCTCCGCTTGCCAAAAGCCCTGCTATCTGTTGGGGGGAGTGTGTGCGTGTGTGTGTTTATGTGTGTGAGGGGGCTGTCACCATCTGTTGTGGGGTCCAACGTGGTCACAGGTGCTTAAAAAATTGTGCATTTTGGGGTTTTGGTAGGTAGTGGGGCCAGATACAAGTAGGGTATCAGGGGGTATTGGGGCAGAAAACATGGATATTTGTGTGTGTGTGGGACGAGGGGCAGTTCCTCGAGGGAACTCTTTGCCTTAACTGAGTAATATGCAGCCCTGACAAAGAGCTGTGGAGCTACAGTAATTGCAGAGCACATAGTGGACAGGGAGGGAGGGAGGGAGGGTGAGAAGGGAAAGAAAAGGAGGCCAGAGTGTTTGATCAAAGTTTACCAAAGTCTGAGGAGATTTGCATACAGATGGTACTGTAGCCCAGCCCCCGGAATACCTTTCCCTCTCTTTATTTCTCTTTCTTCGTCTCTCTTTCCGTCGCACACACACACACACACACACACACACACACACACACACACACACACACACACACACACACACACACACACACACACACACACACACACACACACACACACACACACACACACACAACACACACACACACACACACACACACACACACACACACACACACACACACACACACACACACACATACACACACACACACACACACACACACACAACACACACACACACACACACACCACACACACACACACACACACACACACACACACACACAAATGTAATAGGGTTTCATTGAAGAATCCATGAATAGCCTTTCAAGAGCGTGTTCTGAGGAAGAAACGGCCTTGGCTGCACAACACAGCACCTACAGAAAGAAAGAAAAAGCGAGGGAAGGAAAAGAAGGACAGATAAAAAAAAGAGAAAGGCAATGATTGAGATAGGGACGGAACAAGAGAGAATGGTAACAATGGGAAGAAAGAAGAGGAAAAGCCTCAGTGAAGCACTAATTATTAAAACAAATTCACCCAGGGAAGTTTGTCTTTCAGTAACCATGACATAAACACGCGCCCACTGGTATAATAATGCTGACATGCTTTCCCCGGGACATCAGTCCATATTGATTTTGAATGGCATTGTTGTGTGGGCATTGATCACACAAGTGTTGCCCTCTTATGTAAGTTACATGTCTCTTTGAAGTCATTGTTTTGAGGCAAGCTTCTGGCAATAAGCCTGCTGTGCCAAGCGTCCTCGCAATGTGCCCGTCAGTGCCTGAGCGCCTACGCAACATGACATCCAACAGTTAAAGCCACAAGCATGTCCAAAACCAGCCCCAACTCGCTGTCAAGCTGCCGCATTGTATAACTGTATATTGGACCATTAGTTTCCAGGGTTTATTGTTTGAATATCAACAGCCATCTCCATCACCATGTTACACGCCTTAAATTAAGAGACACACAGCTGTCAGTGAGTCATGTATCAAGCATTTATTTCAAAACAGTGTTTACAAAGTGCCTCACAGAAGATAGAAAAGACAATAAAATATAGGATACAAATTGCACAAACCACAGATTATTGCCTATACTTAAAAAGTAGATTTAAAAAAACATTATCTCATTAACTAGTTGTATTTAGCCATGTATACTATATATATTTGGTTTTATGTGATGAAGTTTTGTGATTTCAGCTTCTGAGTTCTCTTAGGCCATTTAAAAATAAAGTAAATGGAATTTAGTTTGTGGTTTTCAGAGCACGGTATATGTTAGAAATATGGGGGACCACATATCGCAAGGTTGACTTTCAGGTTCAGCGTTATAAATCCCTACACCGTTAGCAACAGGGAACCATTTACATTGGAACTGCTTTCTTCCGAAAAAGGAAACAACCCTGTGAAAATAGTATTTTTTCCAGGACACAGTTCAGGAAGTGAAACGCTGCTGGTGAATTTTTTTCAGTCTATTTTGTCCAATTCTGAACCACAAACCAGTTCACTTTTATTATTGGAGTAAAGGCAGAAACCCAGAAAAAGGACATCTTAAACCTGAGCAAACAAAGCTAAATCCAGCCACTATTACTTTGACAAGGAAGGAAATGAGTTGTCACCCGGACTGACCCATTTCATCACTGCTATACATTGTTTTATTGATTTATTGTTGAACATGGGTGGGCTATAATAAGCATTTTTTGTAATCAGCATAAACAAGCAGGTCGAATGTAAATATTGGGATTTACAATGACAACAGGGCTCATTAATGCAGTGGACATAAGTCACTGAAAGACATATCCTCTATGTTTACATGATTACTACTTCTTTAAATCAAGTGTGTGTGTCTATTTGTGTGTGCACAAGAGTAGGGTTGGTACCGGTTTGTGTGTATGCGAGTGCACACCCACGCCTCCCTTTGTGTATGTGTGTTTATGCATATGTGCTCGTGTTAGTGTGTACCTGTGTTTATTTGGAGTAATCACTGGGGTGCTTCTGTGTTTGTACATTTGTACTGAGATTGATTCATGACTGCTCCTCCAGAGGAAACAGATAACAAATGGTTTTCTGGTCCAATAAACACCGTCTGCCAGTAAACTAAATGAGACTAAACGAAACCATCCTCTGCAGCGTTCAGTAAGAGGCTGGATGGATGGCTGGCTGGGGGGCTGTCTTCACAAAGGTAAAACTCCTTGAGAGACATATTGATTGAGGGCTAATTGTGGAGAGCGAGTGTCACCTCAGGCCTTCCAGACTCCCCGGTGGTTTACGCTA